GTAGACCCTCGAGTGCTGATCCCCCTTGTAGGCATAATCTTGGGTCCCACTGGAAGACGATTCAGTAGTGCTTATCCTTCTTGTAGGCATCATCTACAAGTTTCATAGGGAGACCCTCCAGTGCTGATCCCCCCTTGTAGGCATAATCTCGGGTTTTCACATGGAGACCTTCCAGTGCTGATCCCTTTTTACGCATAATCTCGGGTTTTCACATGGAGACCATCTAGTGCTGATCCCCCTTGTAGGCATAATCTTGGGTCCCACTGGAAGACGATTCAGTAGTGCTTATCGTTCTTGTAGGCATTATCTACAAGTTTTATAGGAAGACCCTTCAGTGCTCATCCCCTTGTAGGCATAATCTTGGGTTTCACATGGAGACCATCCAGTGCTGATCCCCCCTTGTAGGCATCATCTAAAGGTCGCACAGAGAGACCCTTCAGTGCTGATCCCCCTTGTAGACATAATCTCGGGTTTTCACATGTAGACCATTCAGTGATGATCCCCTTGTAGGCATAATCTTGGGTTTCACATGGAGACCCTTCGCGCACGAATCGGAGGACGTGTACTCGCACGACGAGCGGCAGCTCACGAACCCGCTCTCCGGCGGCCATATCCACATCGACTGCCACGCGACGAACAAGGGCCTCTTCTCCGGCATCTTCGTGCTCATGGGCACCATCCTCGGCATCTTCGTCTTCTTCATGCTGGCGCAGAGCGACGACGAGCACCGGCAGGAGGGCGCGCGCATCGTCAGCAACGCGCACGAGCTGTTGCTGCGCATCTGCACGCTCGTCGGCTGCGTGTGCGCCTTCCGCTACACGTCGCGACTCGTCGACGCGCACGGCTGCGACAACACGTTCCTCGACGACTTCCTGCTGTTCGCGTCTCTGCCGATGTTCTACGTCTACTGCGGCTTCGGTGTCATGGCGGCCGCCTTCACTCCGATGAGCTCCGTCGTCGTCGGCACGCTCGTGCTCTACGCGGTGTCGTTCTTCGAGATGCCGCTGCAGACGACCTTCATCATGGACGGACTGCGGCGCGGCGCCGACGCTAGGCTCGCCCGCCGTAAGCCCGGCCGCGGAATCATCATGTTCGTGCTGATCGCCAACCTGTGCGTCTGGCTCGTGCTGACGTTCGAGGTGAAGACGCAGTTGCAGGTCGTGGAGACGGCTTTCTACGGCTACACGACGTGGACAATCATCAGCAAGCTGTGCGTGCCTCTCACCATCTTCTATCGCTTCCACTCGGCCGTCTGTCTGTGGGACATCTGGGATCATGCCTACAAAGAGCACCCGCTCTAAGTGAGTGGGGATGGGGGGTCGACTGTAAACCTAAGACGAGAGAAAACAGTATTGAATCGTCTCTATGTGGGACCCAAGATCATGCCTACAAGGGGGATCAGCACTGGATGGTCTCCATGTGAAACCCAAGATTATGCCTACAAGGGGATCAGCACTGGGGCTCCATCTAGTGGCGAGAATAGAAAATAAGTCGAAGGGCGAGCTGTCGGGGTGCGTTAGGAGGTTGGCTGTTGCTGTTG